TTCCTGCACACTGAGCCGGTTTGCTTGTTTGTTAATTTGTTTGTATAACTCAAACGAGCCAAAATTCAGGAAGACCAGAGCACATTTTGTGAATGCTCATGGGAATATGTTACTGTAGGCATTTTAAATGTGTGGGTGTTAGTGGTTTTTGTTAAAGTGTTGCTCTTCTATGAATCTGCTGTTGTTAATAGTGAAATGTCAGCGAGGAGTCAGAGACAGTGTTTGTGGTATTGCATCAGCAACTGCAGCAGCCAGAGTCATCTGTCTGTGGCGTATGAAAGGACACACACCCACACACACCTTGACCCCATCCTGTGTTCCCCGCTGTTTCAACCCTCCTCTGTTTGCTAAGTATATAAGGCTGTTGCCATAGAGACTATTCCCCAAATAGCTGTAACCATAGCAACATTTTTTTTCTTTCTCCAGGAGAGAATTAAATAAATGCGATGGAACATTTCACAGGCAATTTTTTAAACATGAACTCTTGAACTTCTCTCTGTTGTCTCCCTTCTCTGATACAAGATAAAAACTGGAGGAAGGGAGACTTTATTAACTTTATATATTTCAAGAGCAGCATCAGTATTAGGACGCACATATGCACAGATGCCTAAATTACAAATTCCAATATGTTATTTTCATGGTCTAATTAAGTTTAATCAATATTTGTGAACATGAGCTACTCTATCTCAAAGCAAGAAACCAGTTTCAGATTTGTGATGTCATAGGGTATAATGTCTGGATCTGCTCCATAGACAATGAATGGGAGCCTGGTTTTGTGGACCCACAGAAATGTTTTCTTTTTTATACCTGAAATGAACATTATTTTATTATAGTATTCTCAGTGTTGAAACAGAAAGTGTAATCAAATACTCAGAACAATTCCCTGGGTGCATTCAGCATCATCTAGAACAGTGGTTCCCAACTGATCCAGCCATGGGGTCCAAAGTTGTCCTTAGTCATTCGTTTAAGGTCCACAGAGTTTAAAATATTCAGCTTCATACTTGTGTTTGGCCATGTCGTCGAGACAGTTTGCCGTCTCTGTCAAGTAGCTGCTTGTTGCATTTTAATTTAGAACCTCTGTGCCAGATATTCACTAGGTATAGTGTGGTTTTTACACACTTGACACATTTGAAAGTCACTTTGGTCCATTCAGAATGGAGCTGGGACCCTCTTTTGGACCATGACCCACCATTTGGGAACCACAGATCTTTCCCAGTTTATTGTCTTTGGAGCAACTCCAGACTTTATACCCTATGACATCACAAATTTGAGTTTAAGCACTCTAGTTTTTGGATTTTGGGAAAGAGTGTTTACTTATATTTTTGTATTACTTTTGTCTGAATTTTGTTTATTCTGGACACATGGAATAACAAAATAGGAAATCAGTTGTTCCTAGAGCTCTAAATGACCCTTTAGGAAAGTATTGAGCTGTCTGAATACATGACTGGATATAAGTATTGATTATCAATGCTGCATTTTATCTAGGCCAGCATGACCGATGTCTCTCTATTGTGGACTTTTTTTTTCTCCTACAGACTTACCCACTGGGATACAATAAATCTACTTAGCCACTCTATTAAATTATAGTGCGTCTGGAAGCTTCTTCTCACAAGGGACTGTTCGGACCATCTGTGACCGTGGCTTTCAACAAGGAGAAATGAGGCATCAGTGCTGGGCAGGTCATTCTCCCTGTGTGTGTCCTCTGAGTGCTTTCATTGCAGAGAAAGAAGTGGGATGTGAGCATGTGTAGTAGAAGAAAGCAGCCAATAGATAGTTTGTCAGTTCTGTTCTCACTGTTATAAAGAGATATACTCTTTCTTCATCTTTAGGGATTCAGTCTTTCTCACTGTTCTGGAGTGTTACATTGACCCCTTTTTTAAAACTCTCCGGAGGATAAAAGCCTCTGTAAAACAAGAGCATGTCTGATACTGATTTCTAATTAAGGTTTTCATTACATAAGGCTATCTTTTAATTAAAAATCGTCTTATTCATTACACAGTATTAAAAAGAATTCAAATGAACTGTGTAATCAAAAAACTTTTTAACTTTTTAATTTTTAATAAAAACCTAAACAAAGCTAATATAAAAATTCAGTCATATTCTGTATTTCTCCCCCTCTCCTGTAGCCAGTTAATTACATTGCAATAAATTCATTCAAATGACAGGCAGTGAGAAAGAGAAAGGCCACACACACACACACACACACACACACACACACACACAAATGCCAAAAGACAATAAATCCACATTTATTTTTTAAGAAAGAAAACTTTATTAGTGATTTATAAACAAAACACATTACCACTGTATCCATTTAGGTAAAATAAAAAAATCCAAAAATAAATGAAATAAATGAAAATCACTACTTCACTGTCACAGTTGATGAGCGGGTGTACAAAAAAAGGGTTTTACAACAGATCTGGGCTAGTCCGCTCAGGACAGCACATTGCCACCATAGTTCACCACCATACATTGGGAAAGAATGACAGCATGAACGCTCACTAAACACAAGCATACACTACATATACTTTTTTTTACACTGGAATATTTTTTTTCAGACATTTTTCTTTCTTTTTTTTAAGAGTGAAAGGGAAGTGATAGCTCATCATAGGATCATACATATTTCAGTTACAATATTACAGTGTTAGTTAGATCGTCATGTCAAAGCTGGACACAGAGAGTGATTTTTTTTTCCTTTTTTCTCTTGCTTTGCTTGTTTTCAAAAGCAAAAATCATATTTGGTAAAAGAAAAAAATAACAAACTTGCGTTGAAAGGTATCACACTATAGCATTTACAAATATCTAAAGAGGTTTAGTGGATGCCATACAACATCTGTGGAGCGTGAAGATTGTAGTACATAGATGTTTGGCAGAGACAGAAGTACATACAAATATCTCCTGTGCGAGTAATGAAGAAAAATGATAATACAAAATAATAAAATCATAGCCATCTATCTATTTATATATATATTTCTCTATATAGTATGTGTTTCCTTAGAGCAGTACATGCAGCAGCCACTTAATGGAGTGACGTCATACTGAGCCGCAAAACTTTGGGGACGTGGCAACAAGTTACAGGCAGGGGAGGGGAACCAACAGAAGCAGGTCTTGAGGCAAGAGTGTGCCCCTTTTTCAAAACCTCCTGAGAGAGGATTGGTGGGATACAGCTGCGGGATGGGAATCCCTAGATGCCCGTACTTTGAGCAGGTTTCAATTACTAATGCAGAGACAATCTATGAAAAGTCTACGCTACATTTACAGCGTACATAAAAGCTAATATGTGACTCAACGATCCTAAACAATCAATTTGGAGAACAACTTTCTTCTCTTGTACGTGGAGGTGGAGGGCCAGCCCACGGCATCTGTCTCCTCACTTTCTCCCGGCCCTTCACCCCTGTAATCTGCTTCATCCCACCTGGTCCCCTCTCATTAGTGGCTACAAACAAGAAATAAACGGTGTACTGTAGTATTCGCAAGTTAAAAGCACTGAACCGTTGTGCACTTAGAGAGACATCTGACAAGAGTTCAGGGCGTCGACCCCCGACTGGGCTTCCCCAGGCCTCATCCACATTACTCCATGCTGTTCTCAGCACACCACAATGTTCAGAGCAGGCCATTTCCCAGGATCAATCCTGAGTAGGGGGGTCAGAGCGGGGGGTTAGGGGCAGTGTCCAAGGGTAAATGGGGGCGGGCATGACACGCAAAAAGCAGTTAAAGTTATGAGGAAGAAAAGAAAAATATGCAGGAGTTTGTAGTAGTGAATCTCTCAGAGAATAAATGAAAACAGAACAAGTTCACAAACTTCATCATCACGTGAAGAGGCAGTCTGTGGGGATGGGTGACCATGAGGGGAAGAAAAGGCAGTTGGGAGAGGAGAGGATGGCTCGTGGCAGCTTGGGGCAAGTACAAGCAAGTGAACAGTTGTAAACTCAAGGTATCAGGTAAGGACTGGTTGCTACCAAACATTCAAAGCAGAAAGCATAGGCTTTTGCTGCGGCAGGGGGAGAAGAGAAGGTGTTATCAAAATCTCTAGACTCCTCTAATATTCTATAAGGTTTCATCAGAGTCCACTGACTGAAAGCGGAGTCACAAGCCAGCTCAGCTGGATTCTCCTCTCGGTGATCCTCAGGAGAATGTGAGGTATCCTCCCATCTCTTCATCTTTCCGGTGCTCTCTGCATTCCTCAGTTGGGGTTCTGGCTGGAGATGAAGCTCTCTGTGTCCTTCAAATGCAGTGAGCAAATACAGAGTGAATGCAAAGGATGCTGCTTCCATCCTGAGAGAGTTGATGTACACATGCGCACCACACACAGGCGACTGTGCAGGGCAAAAAGCTTGCAGTGTCTCGTTTTAAGCACATTTCTTTGATATCAGTTGATTTTCTCTCCTTTTTTTTCTTATTTCTCTCCCTCTCTCTAGGTCTCAAGTGCTTTCCACATCTACTTTGTCATGGTAAATACGTGTATCTGTGTTTGCATGTTTGAATGTGTGAGCATGCGAATGTGTGCATGTGGTTTCTTCGAGATCTCGGGAAACACTGTTGGTAATTACCAGAGGAATCTGCAGCAGTGTCTTGTAAGCCTTAGTTTCAGTGACTCTCTCCTGTGCTATTTACAAGTAGTGTGTGTCCAGCTCCAGATGGTATACATCTGTCTCAATCTTCTTCGTCGTTCTTCTTTTCCTTGGCTGGCACAGAGCTTTTTGTTGTTCTTGTACAAAGTATTTGTGTTCTCTCAGAGAGAATGGTTTACACATCAGTTGGGGTGGGGGTAAGACAGAGGTGCCAACGTGCCCAGTGGGTTAAAGGACAAAAAATTGAAGACAGGGGCAAAGAGTGGTTCTTCCTTATTGGAACAGGTGACTGACATGAGTTGACTCTGGGTGTATAGGCACATAGGGGCGTGGAGCAAAATCAATCATTTTATTGTTTATCAAGGCAAGATCGAAAATTTACCTCAGTAAGGGAGTGAAGGTAAAATCAATCTTGGTAAGGCCAGGTTCTTTGAAATATTATCAGTGAAAATAGGTAATAAAATGAAGTTGGAAAAATCTATAATAGGTTTCACATTTTCTTTTTGCCCAGTGGACTTTGGTTGGTACCTCTGTTTTAACAACGCCCTCTTCTTCTTTGTTGTTTTCTCTTTCCGCTCCTCTACTCATCTCCGTCATCCTTGCCCTTATCCTTCTTGTCTTTCTTCTCCTTCTTCTTCTTCTTTTTCTTCTTGGCTTCCTCTTTCTTCCCAAAGGTGATGAAATCGCTCTTGTCGTCCTCTCCTCCCTGGTTCTGTCTGATGGATATTATGGCGGGGGAGCCGGGGATGATGAAGGCTTCTGGGGGGACCTCGCCAGGTTTCAGGTGTTGTGGGGGTGCACCGGGACCGCCGGGGCCATAGCGAAAGTGCCAGCTGTTGCTGTCTACGCCAGCACCCATTGGGGGGGACACCTCTCCCCCTTCAGCATCTGAAAGAAACACAAAGAGATAGATGATGGGTTATTATTTGTTTTCGATTTGCTTGGTTATAAAAATAAAAAAAATGTTATGATTTTCATAGACCTTTCTTCAGAAACACTGGGTGAGCTTTACTGAGTTTTGTGCACCTCCACTGTGATGCATTGTGCACCTAAATTAATGTTATGAATGCTATTTATAAAACACAGCAGCTGGGAAGCACAGCGTGCCAGTCATCTGAGGCACAGGTTGTGTTTGTCCTTCATGCATGCAAATTTAAGGAAAGACTGAACAAATAACCGGAGGAGATATCATAAGGGAGGTTGATAGAACAAATTCTGCTGGATTTACAAAAGTTTGCCCAATCTGTGTGATCAGTTAAAAATGATCGGTCTCTGAAGAGCAGGTGCAAATATGAGCAGGTGTGTACAGTAAAGAGGCAACTGTAATGACTGACATTGAACAGATATTGTCTTTTTTTAATGTATGGCTATAGTAATCTCACGTTCTTTCTAAAAAAAAAAACTGCCACTAACAAAAAACTAATTTAGCACAGATTTCACTGAATATAGGGTGGCTTAAGTAAAAGGCATACTGCATTGGTTTGTTGGTTATAGTTTGTAAATACACTCGCTAGTGAAAGTGAAAGTGAAAGCCAACCCCAGATTCACTCTCATTTGGCATTTTGCCACGCTATATTTGTGTTTTCTTTTCAGTGCTGTGTCTCTTGGATGCCTGCTGCTTATGGTCTGACACCTGGTTGCTACCTTTTTTTATAAAGCTCCAACCTCATCCGAGACATGAGGTGGTACATCCCCATAAACATCTCAAACACAGAGAATAGAAAGAAAATATGAACATACAGCCAGAACACAGTCTCTGCAGAAAAATAACTTGAGTTATGGTTGAGCGGGATTACTTTTGTATGAACCAATACACTTTTTTATTTTAGATAAATCCTAAAAAATATACTTTTGAAGTTGAACTTGTAGTTTGCCGAGCTGCCACTGCACCAAAGCAAACACGTTCTTAGGATGACAGGTACATTGTGGCGGTGTGCATCTTTTTTATAATTTTTTTCTTTGTGAATTTCACCTAATCAGTAATAAAGACCCATATATTTTTTTAAAGAGATTACCTAAAGCCTGTTGTTATGTAATTAACAGGCATCTGCATTTAGTATCACCACATTTTGATTCCTTCTCTGACAAATCCCCCTACTGAACTGCAGCTTTTGAACTCACAGAACCCGCCCGCAGGATGAAGTCGAAGCAGCTGACCATAAAAAAAGTGCCCCGCACTTTTCTGAACATAAATCAGGCCTACTGTGTTAAAACTTTGACTGCAGGGAGAGTTCACCAACCTCCACTGCAGCTACTGTAAAAATCTAATCAGTCAATAATGAGTGGCATTCCTTGAGGAACAGCCATGACATGCTATAAAAGGTGGTAGGTGGTGGGACTTAATGGGAGGTTTCAAGAAGAAACTGCTAAGTGGGCAATGAATCAAAGACTCCCTCCTGGCCAAAGCTAACATCCATGGCACTGTTTGATGAAGCATTAAACACTTCATCATTACGTTGAAGGCTGAGGAAGGTAATAAAGTATTTTACAGGAATTTAACTTGAATCTTTTGCACAAAAGGAAAGCAAACATGTCAGTATTCAGTAACTGACAGGTGTAACTGTACACATTAATGAGTGATCACACCCTTGCTTCATTGCATGTATCGTTATATTATTATCTACGTGCAGTATGTAACGAAACTAAGCAGTCTACCAGCAAAGGACCCCGTCACTTTGCTTCTTTCCTCACAGCAATGACCTACTTGCCACACTTGCCTCACATATTCCTTTTATTTCTCTGACTCCTTTTCTGAGTTCTTTCCAAAGGGGAGATTAACTGAGCAGGGCTCCATCCAACCAGAAGGAACAGTGTCTGGAAGAAGAAGCCTGACCTCATGCAGTACCCAGGGCAGAAAATACCATCTTCTAATCTTCTCTTACTGCACTATTACCCAGCCAGCCTCAAAATATACACTCTGTGTTTGGGTTCGGCTTTCCTCATGCTGCATCCCTTACCCAAAATGAACTGTCATCCTAAATAGTATAATAGTATAATAATGGATGAAGAGGATGGAAGTGCTGGTTAAAGTGGGCTGTAGGGATGGACTGATATGCCTAAATCGTACATTACATCACTGAGAGAGAATAAGATTCTCATAAACAGTTAATGCATGGGGAGTTAATGCAGGGGACACATCCCGCCTCAATATTTAGTACATGTGCATACCCCCAATAAAAACATTAAATTAGCAGAGGGCTAAAGACATTTCAACCATGAATTGAGGCAGCAAATTCACAAATTGGTGCATAATAATTCACCAGAATGCAGGACATTAAAGTATTCAATGCTCAAAATTCCCTGGGGGAGGACTCCATGCCCCCAGTTTTGTATGTGCCACCCTAATGTTGAATCCAAACCTACGCCCTTGATTGCATTGTTATACAATAGCAGGATGAACTATTTTAGCCATAAGTTACTAGCATTAATAAACTTTTAGTTGTGATATGGTGGAGTTTATTTATTCCCTTTTTCATATATATCGTGTTCCAATTTTATCCCTGCTTTCAATTCCTATTTTGCTCGCTCTTCTTACTTGTTTTCCTTTCAGTTTTTTTGAAACCATTTTCAATTACCAGCTCTCAGTGAGATCTGCTCACAGTAAAGGATTCATGGAGTAAATCCATGGCAAACATGACGTCTCCTGTTTGGCATACAATTCTAATCAGTCATAGAGGCACGCACACTGCTGTAAAGCTCCTCCTTCTGCAGGGAAACTGCCCAAGTCGAAGCAGACAATGGCACTGAATCTAATTTTCTTAATTGTGTTAAGTTAAACGCACACAGATTCTAGTCTGAATTGGAGCTGAGATGATAAGTTGAACAACAAATAACACAGCCAATTGAATAGCTTTGGGTTTTGGACTGTTGGTTATGCAAAACAAGCAATTTAAAGATGTTACCTTGGGCTTTGTGATGAGCATTTTTCATGATTTTCTTATATTTTATGGACAAGACTATTATCTGATAATTGGGAATGTAATTGGCAGGTTGTTATGTAATGAAAATAGTTGTTAGTTGCAGCCTCAGTCTGATTTGTCATGATTCATGTTTAATTCCCTCACATATATTTTAAAAATCAGACTGGGACCACAGTGCAGGAATTAAGTGGGTCATGCATTTGAATTGTTTCACAATGCTATTCCCTAAAAAGCTCTCTTGCTTTCAGCGACTGCGACAACACAGCTGCAAGAGCCGCAGAGAGAAGACTGAATTTGACAAAGAGACTGAGAAGATTAGGACGGGACAGGCTAGATCCAGTCACTGCTTCCTCCACATGAAGACATGGAGACAGCGAGAGTCACATTCATTTACAAGGCAAGAGTCTCCCCCCAGTTGATAAGTCCTCATCTGACTCCCCAAGCAGAAACATGGCCCTGATTCTATAATCTCACAAAGGAAGGCAGAAACAGGAGAAAAGCAGCACAAAAATATGTGCTGAAAAAAATGTAGAATACTGGAGTGCTGGCGATGCTTTGCTCTAAAGTGTCCACTCTCTTGCCTCTAAGAAATTACCTGTCTAACTCGATGTGGGAACTTGATTTGACACCAGTGCCCCCTTTGCAAACTTACATTCACAAACAAAACAATACCCCGGAGAGTGATGAGTCATGCTGAGAGCAGACAGATGGAAAAGGGTAAGGCAAGGCAGGGCAGGGTGACTCTCCTAAAAAGGGTCAATATGTTGTGCTGGATTTAAAAATAAGACAAATCGTGGGGCAAACTGTAGTCTGGCTTAGTTAAACTGTGGTGCCACTGAAAAGGTCATATTGTAATAGACTGCTGCAGGGATGACGTTTTTTTGTAGGCTAGCGTCGCCCTGGTTCCCTTGTCAGAAAGCCAATGGGACTTTTCCAAATGGATTTTGGATTACCGCAGAAAATAATCTCTGAGGTAACAAAAGTCTATGATACTTACATGTTTTGTTCAACAAGATAATATTCAGAGATAAAAAACACTTTTATGACTTTTGCAGTGTAAATGCAATCGCCAGAAGTGAAAAGGTAATGTTAGGCTGTAAACAAACTACACCACAGTTGCATGACTCTGATGTCACCACCACAACAAAGCTGTAAAAGTGTTCTAAATCATGCTTGCTGGCTTGCATACCGAAAATCGGATCGGATGTAATAGAACATCCTGGTATCTTTGGCATACTGCATTTGACATACTAAATTTTTTTCTGGTACACTTTATATATAGGTAGTATGGATATTGGAACTCAGAGCATGTTCTGTAGTCTCATTTAGCCACTTGCTGGCAGCCACCTTTTTTAGGACACATAAAGCTTAAAAATTCATGAGCAGGGTATTTACTGATGTATTAAGTTGTAGAACAAAACATGAAAATATCTTAAGCTTGCGTCAACCACAGATCTTATTTCAGGCATCGAACCCAAAACCCATTGAACAAACCCACTGACTTCAAGACGAGTGAACCAGAAGTGCTACAGTGCCAACTCATTTCCAGGTTTTAGGACTCATTCCTGCACCCCTCTAAGTCATTGCTCTTTTAGGAAGGTTCCTTTTGTGCTTTTTCTGATTAACATATGTCATTTTGGTACAACAGGCAATATGGGATTTGACTTGTGATGCCAGCTCTACTGACTACTTTAATCTGTCTTCTTATACTGTACTCCGTGCCTCTTCCCTGCGTCTCTTCCTTCATAATTGTAACAGACTCATCTCGCCCAACACTGATCTCCACACAGCCACTGCTTCAATCTGATTTGTCGATGGCTGTTGCAGAGCAAAACTTCCCCTCTTTTCTTCTCTCTGTTCCTCTCACACGACCAACCTCCTTCTCTTTTCTTCGCTACCCTCTCTCTCTCTCTCTCCATCGCTCATTTCCTCTGACCTTTCAACTAATCTTGCGTGAAAACCAAGCCA